TTTTAAGATAGATCAGATCGGTCAGTATGGGTGCTAAAAATGATCCATATAACTGTTAAATGTCCTTATTGATCTAAGAATGTGCAATTTGCGTTCAAGGAGTTTCGCTGAACGTAAAAACTCGTCACTTTTCTAAGGGAAGTAGACCGTTGTTTAGCACCACCACGATTTCTTCGGAACCTTCATTTCTTCAATGTTTTCATCGCGTATACTACCGCTTATACTTTTCCCATTCGAAACTTGAGATCCATAGATTCATGGTTTACCAAACGAAGAGCCGTCCGGATATCCAGTGAAGATCTCTTTCGGCAACGTTAACCTTAAAATATAATAAACGAATGACCATTTGAACGTTAAATAGAGAAATCTTGGGAAAGGTTATTGATCCGTGCCTTTTTGTGATCACAGTCTTGTGTTACATTCACTGCTTAGACACTTCGATGACCAATTCTTCACATGTCGTCCCGTTCCTAGCATTTTTTCTAATCGTTTCGTTGTCTTGCACTCGTTATCCACTACGGTGGTATAGCTCATATGGTAGCTTTAGCTGCAACTTGTGGTTCCATTACTTTCTGTCATTGGCAATGTCGGCTCAACTTGGTTTCTTTAGAGACCAGAAATAGTTGGGCTGCGGTTTTCTAAGGTTGTCAACACAGATGGTTTCTTGCCTTTTGATTGGAAGAAAATTTGTGGCTTTTCTACTTGATCCTTCCAGAACGACACTGATTTCCGTGATGGCGAATGGAATCCTGCGTTTGTCAACCGACTGCTCGAGGGCTATGCTAATCTAGTTTGCAGAAGCTGTGTTACACTTAAATCTGACTTCGAAACTAATCTAGCCCTAAACAAAATTCATTTGCTTTGCAATTTCGTGTAGATAAGGTCCTTCTTGTTTACTGCAGACTGCATTCAGACGGAATCCCTAGGCAAACTACGTCGTTCACTTAAACGCGTCGAAATAAATAGACGGGAAAAGTACCTTATTCACTACTAAGCTAGTTTAATAAGTTTATAATGAAATTAAGACCATTGCTTCTTTTCTACTAGTCACTTCCATGTTGAGATCGTTTTTGAAAGGGTCAAGTCATTTCATTACATGATTCCATCTGCCATAAATGAAGAATTCTTCCTGTGCAAAATAGGCTTTAGGGAGGGATGGAGGGGGATGAAAAATTTCCTCTCGTCCCGAACTTGTCCTGAACATCTTCTGTTGTCATGCAAGATATACTTCTCACTTGGTTATGAAATAGATCGTTGTTGCTTTTTCTAAACCGCAGCCCCTCATCACTCGATTTCAGAGACGCAGCTTTGATTATCGTCTTCAGACGGTCGTTGTGAGTTACTGATGCGAGTACTCAACCTTTTTCGGCCTAAACGCTCAATTTTCTTATACGGGACCATTCAGATCATCTGCGCACTGGGATTTTGGAAGCGTTTTCTGACAGATGCTACTTTGGCATTCCGAATTGCTACCTATGTTTTACGTCCACGTTTCGGCAGATGAAGCGAAACTGCGGCTTTCTTGTCTTGACAACATTTCTTCTCAGCAGACTTAAAGCCATTGTAATTATATATTGCATCAATGTATTGCATCATCAATGTAACTGATAACGTGAGAAGGAAAAGCGCGAAAAATAAGTGTGACTTTGACGATATGGCTAAGTTCTAATTTTTGATGTAGAAAGAATAACTATCCATAACTTTCCACGGGAGGTATGTAGCCCATTGGTTTGAGGTGCCCTGTAATACACATGGGTTTGATCCCACGCCCTAAGCTCACCAAGTTTTCCATCCATCTCGGCAATTTGGTAGCAGACCTGTCTGGGAGCGTAGCAACGCTGGCTCGATACATCGGTTGGCTACCGCGAATCATTTTCAAGGCCGGAAATGCATTCAGTCAACTCTAGCGTTACTTGATGAAATCGAATACATGGCACATCGTCAGGAATTGATCACCGCCGAAAGCTTTATCATTTTGCTTTATTAACTTTGTACGAATGTTTCTTAATCATGAAATCATAACTGCGGCGAAGTTGACTAAAAGCTATTTCGTATTGATAGCTGATGTTAGTTGATCTTGTTCTCATAAACCTCTTAAAAATTGGCTAATTTACTCCTAGCTCAAAAGTATTTTATCTCAGTCACTATTCCCAAATCATCTCATAATCATTCCTCTCAGAGCTGTCAAATTCCGCTGGCGGTTATGGATCGATGCCCAAGAGGAGTACCAGTCATCACAGCCTTCCGGTCACTAACACTCATGCCGCACTCAAAAATGCTGTAGGTCTCTCGAATCTTCTTTCTAAACAAATTTCAGCAACAATACAAGTAATTTATTTCCTAGTCAAATTTGGCCATGAAACCTCGAAATGTGAGCATGAGCTCCATATGGAATTTTCTTTCAGTGCTAGTCGTTTCTACTAGGTTGTAGCCCAGTTATTATTAACGAAACTCATCGGAAGTCAAGGCTTTTATTTTACTCTGCCACGGTTGCAAGTAGTGTTGAGTCTTCGGGTGATAAATAAAATATCACGGCGTTTTTTATGGTCCAAACTTACTTCAGCAATATTCTTCTACGACGGAATCACCTTTGACCCCACATGTTCTCCTTAACAACTGTGAAAGGAGTATTCGAATCCTAAAAGAGCGAAATTCAAGTTTCATATGGCCTAGACTCGATAGTAAAATGTGAGGACGTTTTTCGAATAACGGTTCCTATTAATTCTCTAAATTTTATTCACTGCCTACTCTTTTCTATGCAGGATATGATATGAAATACAACCAAGAGAACACCGAGACTTGAGCAAAACTCGGAGCCAAGGGTGGTTTTGAATACTTGACAACCCTTTCAAGGTGCTCATCTACTATTTACCTCACTAAACCAAGGCCCTTGGTTTATCTTTCCCTAAGCCACTCTATCGGTGCTATTAGCAATCAGAAACCCTCCTAAGATTTTGGGTTTTGCTTGTAACTCAGCATCCCTACAGTTTCTATTGACTTCTAATGAGCCACTGAGACCAACTGTTGACCAGCTTTATAAGGATGAGAGGAATTCGTGCCCATTTTAGCAGCCTTCTTTCTTACCAGCAACTTGCCGTAGAGTTAACGTCGATCCGTTTGAGGCACAAAAGGTGTTTGCAATGCTGAATACTATATTAATACAAACAGCAAATTGGAAAAATCCTCCAATTGTGTTTGTTCGGTTTTCGCTAGGTTGATAACTCAGTAACCACAGGGAAGGGCAATCCATACCGATGTAGTACAGAAACTCTGTGGAAGTTGAACACATTGATGTGTTCCTTGATGATGAGGTGGTTGTAGACAAGCACGCCCCAATAAAGGGGAGTATACACCGCCCTCCATGGAAACATATGAACCAACGATACACGAGCGCGTTACCTTCACGCAATGCTTGGCACAGGTTGTGTTGTCCACAATATACTCATAGTAGATAATCACTAAAGTCCAGTTTTCTGTTTGTTTAGTTCCTTTTAAGATTCCGCTACTTTGTAGCTTTGGTGAAAAGTGGGATGACTTAATGCCAACGAAAAGTGTTGACCCCGTTAATCTCCTAGAGGAATTTCGTTTCCTTCTACCAATCTTCTAGAAATTTTTTGACTCCTTTTCGATTCTGTTCGTTCCCAGTAACAGAAAGGGCTTCTCGATTGAATAGAACAAAACGACTGAAGCTGTTTTTTTGTTGGCTTTCTTTTCCTTGTGTTACGTAACATGCAGTATACTAATAAATATCTATTACAAGCATACATTAACAAGAATTGAGGAAAGAATTAGCAATTGAGAAAGTATAAAAGCGGAATTAATACACGGTAGTTTCTATAGTGCAGTTTAGCGTCGTTTTCCGAAACAACATAGAGAAGCATAGCAGTGTGGTTTCCAGGTTATTCTAAGTAAATCAATATAGAAATGTCAGGAGTCATTACGACAAAAGAAGGTTTAAAAAGTCAATAGAGGGATATAGTAGCAGCGACTGCAGTTTGCTTATGGTTTAAAAAACACACATATCTTTTTATTTATTGCAAGGCATTGTTATAGTGGAACTCCGAAAATAGAAAATTAAATCAGAAACTATTCTTGGCACTCACAACGGTGTTGAGATGCTTGCAAAACTCCGGACCGCAGATGTCTGCGGTGAGGAACGGACGCCCTATTTTCCTTTCCGGGGGCTAATGCGTTCACCATTGCACCATGCGGGTCCTATTCTTGGCATTATGAGTGGTACGGTAATGAAAAGAATGAAGCAGATCGTCAGTCAAGAAGGTGAATCATTTTAGGAAGCACTACTTTGCGGATGTAACATACGAATATAAAAATAACCAGTCTAGAAATCCGTTCCAACTCGTAAGCAACCGAATGTGGTGAAGTCCTCAGCGTCCGCCTCTAAGTCGTCGCCCATCAACAAATCGCATTCAACTCCGATTCGTAGTGGATCGACAGCATGTAGTGGTCCGAAAACCGTAGCGAACGCGCTGAAGAAGATCGACAGCGAGGACTGGTAAGACGCATTTCGTCTCTTTCTTTCCATTTTACATTTACTGAAAAGATAGTAAAATAAAGGACAAAGCTCTGGCATTGATCAATTTCTGAGGAATGCTCCATCCATTCGAAGCATCGATGGAAGGGATATCTGGCCAACGCAACGGCTGTCCTTGGCTTACCGATGTATCAAGTCAGTGAAGCATTCCTCCCAGACAAGCATGGTAACAGTTTACCGACTCCGGAAGGATGGACAGCTTGGTGAGCCCCGGAGATCGGATCTGCAGCAAGATCAAGGCAACGGCGTGTGTGTATTGTATGACACCTCTATCCACTGCGCTCCGTAGACCATCAAGTAGTAAAAGGGGAAGAAAAGCCTCAATGAAGGAATCCCATCCTCTCCTAGAGAGTAAAACCAAGAATTCCATAGTTATTTGCATTGGAATCTACCAATAATCTTAAAGCACCTTGGTCACTTTTACATTTTTTATTCTGCGCACAGTTATTTAATATTTAGGAGTCAAAAAGTGGAGGGTATCAGTCTAATCACTGAGCTGTCTGCCACCAACCCAAAGGATGTCGCTGAGCATATGCATGAGGTTTGTAGATGCATGTAACTTGCGTCCGGTATCACAGAACTAATATAATGGAAAATCGTACGCAGACTGTAACTTCTTGTTAATGGGAATAATTATGTAATCAGTGATAACAAGGAAAAATCCTGTAAACGTATACAGTAAATGAAAGGAAGCATGAGAATTTCCATTTTTATTCGTAGATTGTTGAGCTAACGGTAGGTTGATAAAATGGCTTATTCGGCTAAAGTTTCGACGTCTTCGTCTTCTCCAAGGAATCTTGTTAGCTCGATAATCCAAGAATGTGCCGAGGTTAAATGGCAAACGGTTTGAGGATCTCTTCACATTCAAATTCTGTTGATGTGATTGATATTAGTAATAACAACAATTTGACAAATTTTCTCCGACTTTGAATAGGTGGTGGTGGCAATTCTGAACGAGTGCAAGAATCTGCGATCGAGCGTCTGCCGAGTTGCTCTCGTCTGCGCCGGGACGCTTACACAAAACATGAAAGGAAAGATGGACCAAGAGTTGGACAAGGTGTGTCTTGTTCAGCTGCAATGATAAGTTGCATCAGTTATGTTATGTATATCAGTTGACGGTTTATATTATATGTAGAAGTGAGTATAGCAGAAAAAGCACTTTATAGTGCTCCCATTTTTTCTCTCAGTGGCATTGCTGTCTCATCGCTCTTGATAAATAGTGGCGGTTCCTCTTCCAAACAAGACCTCCGAGGTTGAAAAGTAGTTTGAAGTCCTTCCAGAAGTACAATTCAGAATAAACCCTTGATAGGAACCATTACCATCTTGATAACAATATAGTCACTAACTAGTAAGTATTAAGGACTTGAAGCCCTAGTACAAATTTCGAGGTTTAAGGGAAACAAAATATTGTCTGACTAGGAAATTATTGCTCAGTGTGAAACTCTACTAGAGATCATATCATTCTTCATGGCTCGTGAAGACAGGACATTAAAATATCCGAGAGTGCAGTGGTTGCTTGACTTGGTATATTGACATTTCGCTTTGTGTTAGACAATATAGTTTTGGAGAGCACTAGATATCAACTAAATGATAAACACCTTTTGATTGCGCTCACCGAACACATGAATTCTTCTTTATGCTCTCCTTCATTTTCGTTCTATTTTTCTTCATTTGCCATCCACTTCAAAAAGATCCCTTGTGGCACAGCGGATTTAAGGTATCCTGCAACTCATGTAGGGTCAGTTGGTTGTTCAACCCAGCACTTCGAACTTATTAAGATCTCCTTCTCTATTCGGCGGAGAAATTGGTCAACTATCTGATAGTAAGTGGCTTCCTAGGTTGCTTTCCCTATTTTGTAAAATTTAAGCATTCAAACTGAATGTCAGGCTCTCGTTCGTCCGATTTTTTCCTGGCGTATTAACGACATCGCGATTCAATGGATTTCATCTTCCATTGATGTAAACTTCGTAGCCTGAAATTCTTCATTCTAGAAATTTTACAGTTTAGACATTGTTCATTCTCCTGTTCTGTTCATTCTGCCTGTGGCAGTCAAAGTGGCCACTTTCTGAAGTAAATTTTCAACTAGCAATATCAGAGCATTCTTATCTAACTCGGTCTTCTTACTCACTCTCTCCCTGTATAGCTTTTATATTTAAAATATGTTTGTAGTATAAATACAACTTTATTTTCTATACATTCAAGGTAACCTAGACTCAGCGATATTCCAGTATTTCTTTTTAAGGTGTAAAAGTCAAATTAAGAGTAATCACAAATTTCGTATATTTCTGAACCTTTCAATTTTGCAATACTTATGAAAGCATCTCGAAAAATACAGGCTTCTGTTATAGAAATGTTCTGATAAGATTTTCAAAATATTTTTTATGTAGATCTATTCCGACGTTTGCAAATCTGCAATTACAGCTGTGCATGATTCTCATCAACAAAGCTGGCGATGTCTCAAATGCGTTCATTCGTGAAGACGCCAGTGAAGCACTGGACAAAGTAGTGAAGAATGCTTCAGCCGGAAAGGCACTTCAGGCCATCATCGCTGCTGGATCGAGGTCAGATTCAACATGCTTCTGTTTCTAAGTGTTCGATTCGTATGCGATTCTGATGGTCAGAGATTTATACGGATCACCTTCATTACCTCTAACTCTCTTCAATATGAACTTACTCAAACAACCACCAGTAAGGATTTGGGTTGATCTTCCTGCAATAGAATTTCAAGCGCATCTGCTCGAATGTGCTTGTGGAATATTTGAGAGACGTTCTTCGTCAATCAATTCCTGGAAGATACACTACTTATTCGACGACTTCACTAAGCATCGTTGAAGGTAACTGAATGTATATCTGGCCTATACGATGACCTGCAGTGACCTTCCAAGTCAGCACTTTTATCCTCCCGTAAGCTTTGGCACTAATTTTCCGACCCTGGAGGGATGGAAGACCTGGTGAACCCACGGCGTTGAATCCAACAAACGGCCACAATTGTTCCATATCAAACCTCTAATTACAGCGCTAAACGCGCCCTCTAAGGAAGATGCAGATAATTCTATTCGGTATGTGAAAGTTAAAGAGCCATCCTACGAGTCCATCACCATCTCAACTCATTGATATAGCTACTTTTGCTATGTGTTTATCTTTCCACTTTCCACCTGGGGCGCACACCTAGATAGACCAACTAGGGATCCTTTAAATGAGAGGAATCATTGATTTTTCGGAATAGCACCATAAAAGGTTGAAGTTCTTCGAGCAAATTTCGAAGCGTTCAGGTCCAAGAACAACACTATCCGTACATCATGTGCCAGTTTCGTTGGCACACTAGTGTCACGTCTGGGAGTCAGCACGGTACTCTCATCTCCGGAACAGTTAACGAAACTGATCCCACAACTTATTGCCTTCAGTCGAGATCCAAATCCTCATGTTCGAATGCATGGACGACAAACATTGCGTAGTCTCAGTGAGGTAAGTCCTGTATGAGCTTTCTACCGACTTTAGCAAAAGTCCTTGCTATCGTTATACTCTGTGTTCATAACAATGTGTCATGATCATTAGATGAAAAAAGGCTAGAAAGATAAATTCAATCAAAATCACAGTTTTTTTTTACAATGTTTTGTGAGTCAAGTGCTTACCACTGACTTCTTCATTATAAATCTCTCTCTCATCTTATAGGTATTCAATGTGAGAAATATAATTATTGTAACTGAGTTCAAAGTCGATTTTTGATTGCAAGATCATTTCCGTGACTGCTGATGGCACCGTTAGAGTAGAAAACTGGCCGGGAAACATGCAAGGTGGGAGTCTCAGTGGTGCAGTTGATAAAACGTGATCCCGTGAACCTCTGGAAAGGGTAAATCGCGAGTTCAAATCTGGCAGTCTGGGTTTTGCAGAAACTTTACCACTATCGTCGTTCTATTTCACATAATGCTCTACCTTGAGAATTAACAGGTGGTAAATAAAGCGGCACATAACACTCTGCCGTGAAGATTATAATAGGAAGTAAATAAAAAGTTAACTTTAAAACGTTATAATTCTTATGTTTAGTCGTTGTGAAAGGCTAAGCTGATGTTACGTCAGTGAACCTCTAGTTATTTCTCTAACATTTTGTAAAAGAGTGAAATAGAGTGATTCATATATGGTAAAGAGGACGAACACTATTCCTAACCGTAGACCAGGACTAACAGTCGTAATTTCTACCGTTCTACTTGAAACGAACAGAAAGGCAAACACGGCTTCCAGCTAAGTACTCTCTTAAATAACCCTAGCTGCACTCTTGTCACTATCCTCTAGCTCAAATTCTTTTTGTTCTTTTGTTTTTTGGCAAAAAATTACCGGACAAATACATAGTACTTTGAGACTACTTTTCTATAGGCTCTTATGTCTGAGGAATATTTTTTTTCATCGTTTGCCATGTAGCTAAGTATTACCACCTAGGCTATAGATATCATCAATATCAGAGCTGATGAATTTTTTCCAGTCGAGGACATTCAGTTTGTTTGTTGACGGCAATGAAAAACTCGCTAACATAAAGGGTGCTGATGGCTTCTCTTAGTCACTTAGTATTAGTATAGTGTACTATACGATATCCATCTCTCTATCTATCTATTCATCTTCTCTATTAGTATTCATATAGAGGTTAAAAGATAGTGCGTTTCTAGGACATCCGACATGGTCGCTCAATTTTTTTTTACTTCGGAGATTTTTTGTTCCAATCTTTTAATCAGTCAACTGAAAGAATTGTTTCAACCACTCTCTGCCTGGTTTTGGTTTTCGTATTCTTCGAGCGTTTCAGAATCTTCTTTACCGGTGGATCTCTGAAGTATTGGTGTGGAGTAGTAGCTTCTGCTGATTATGTTTAAATAGGAAAAATTAGTGTTCAGGACCCCAACTTTGATCAACAACTGAAGAAGAGCATTAGTGAATCGGAATACCGTTCAGTGAAAGCGATTCTAGATGAAATCAGGAAGAAGGTTAGTGACCGATTAGGGTTCGAACAATTCCTACATTTTTGTTATCCTGTAAAGAAGTAGATTTCTGCAGGTCATGCTATAAATGAAGCAGTTCCCACAGCACGTTTCCTAAAACTGGTTCTACTGACCTTTACTAACCTTATTTTCGTCCTTTCTTAGTAATCCAGGAGACGCATGTAGGTCAATGATTAGAAGAGTTCTGTAATGCACACGCGATTTTTGGTTCGATTCCACGTCCTGGGCCAACCATCGCCTCCACTCTGCCAGGGTTCTCGATTTGGTATCAAACTGGCCTGGAAGAATAAAAATGCTGATTTAGTCGCTGACAGATCTCTGTAAGTTATTGTAGAGGCAAAATATGCTTTCAATCACTTCTATGGTGCTACGAATGGAGTAGAATGCATGGCGCATTCTCTAGAGGGTTGATCAATGCTGGAAATGTTATCGTTTTTTCATTTTTCCTGGTAATCTATACTACTAAAACGAATTGCAAATCGTTAGTAGTACTCGTGTGAAAACGCTCAAGAAAACAGGCTTCAGGGCGGTCTGGACTCACTGGACAGCACCTGCACATCGATATCCAGCGGGTTGTCGAGAAGTGGTAGTATTCGTAAAACAGTGCAGCGAAAACTTTCCGATAATATGCAGCTGGACTTGGATGAAACCAGAGCTGATTTGATAGCAGCCAGGTGAGTACTATGTTCAATCACCAACTAATTTACTTGTTTTTACAAGTTTTGTGGAATTTTTGGATTCTTACTAAACTACCAAGCTTTTTTATACAGATGTTAGCTATGGGTACTAGGCAAAATGACTAGGTGGCTTTTCAAAATTGATTTCTTCTTTTAATGTATGCGTGAGAATTTCATCGCTTTTAGCTGGGGACGTCGTCTGGGAGGTTTAAAGCGTTTCGAGGAAATGTGTAGTTCATCGACCAAAGCCGTCGCCAGTGACACCAAGGTTCGTTTTTCTTCTTTGCGAACATTCAGACACCAACGCTCTACATGCACGGCATTTCTCGTTTTCGGTTATTCACATAAGTTCAATTCCTAGCACTCAGTCGATGTTCTTAGAAGATGACTAATCTTCGTCATTTAGTTACACTTGCATAATAGTTGCATAATTGATAATTGGTATCTGAGTCACTCTTCATACTGAAAAATCGTGCAGATCCTGACTTCGGTTCCACTAGGGTGGGATTTTGTAGGTAGGAGGCTGGTTTCTTTCCTGGGAAACATAGTTCTGCCTTGGCGTTTGCTCGTCGTTACCATCGGATGTTTGCCGCTTTGTAACCAGGTTTTTTTCCATAATGATTCGTGATGCTAGTCTTAGTCAGATTCCATTAGGATTGAAGACGAAAATAATGATTTTTTTTCCTCAATACAGGGTGACGCTACTTTATATCGCTGTTCCAAACTCGTCGTCATTGACATGTGAAACTAATGGCAGATATGAGTGCACAATTTAGATACATCGATACTTCGGTGGCTTTGGGATTCCAGCGCATCTCACATTTCCCATTAGTTCCTTTCTCTTAGGTTCAGCGTTTATAAGTATGTTCTCCTTCGAATATGGTACGCACTGATGGACGGTTGCTATTTCTCGTCGTCTACATCACTGCTCTGTTCTTCCACCAGTCCTTCACTTTCTCATTATATGACTGAACTATCTATGCTTTCCTGGCATATCTCTTAATAACTCAAAAGACCGACTTTCTATAAACTTCGATATAAATAATAGATCTATTTATTTATATGTTCTTACGAACTGATCTTGTTGAGCTGACACAAGGTTGGAATTGTCGTCGTTGTTGTTGCTGTCGTTCTCGTTACCCATGTTTTACTTCCAAAGCTTATTCTTTTGACTCATAGGTGCAAGCCACTTTCCAAGGATTTGAACTCTGTAGTCGTTCTTTGTGTTGCATTTGCCAATTACGCTCCATAAGCATCTATGAAGCTTTTTTCGCATGGTACGTGAACCTCCCACCTGGTTTAGGTGTCAACTTTTGAGCTGCTTAGTAGCACAATGGGACGGGACTGTCAATCATCGGTGACTTCTCAGAGGCCTAAACGAAGTTTGTGCCACTACTGCCACTACTACATAATTTCTTTCCGCGGCGCATTGTTCACTGAATATTTCGGACAAACATGTGATGGACTACCTCTAATTAAAGAACCACCCAACTCAAGTGTTTCCGTCAGACCGTGGCTTTTTTCAGGAAGTGTTTTTTTCCAATTTATACCAGCTTTCCCAAACTTGTTTAACTTCGTCCAAATTTCTTCACTCGTGTAATAGGACCGTATTTGTGAAGAACTTATAGAATAAGCAAATGTGAATCGACCAGTAGCGACGAAGATTAATTGGCCATCCTTCTTAAGCGTAATGAACATGCACGAAGGTCCATCACTGTTCTGAAATTCATATGCTTCTAAAGTATACTGCCAAATAACTCGCGAGAAGTGCTTGTTTCTAGGAGCTTCCACTGAAGTCGTTTTTACTGTTGTCCACCCTTGAAGATGTTCCACTGCTCATACTTTTCGGCACAACTTAGGCGTCAGAGTAATCTGTCTTTCAGAATGAAGAATGTATTAAAGTAAAAGGGAGAATTAGGTAGAATTGCAAAAGTTACAAATTATAGTGAGAGTGTATAGTACTAGGTAATAAAAGGAATAGGCGAAGCAAAACAGGAATAAGAAACGTTCAAATCTTCACTTGTATTTTAGGCAAAGGGTTTTGATGCTTACTTTCTTCTTAAAAACCTCATGAAAAGAGTTTTGAAGCTTACTTGTTATAGCAAGAAAAATTTTTACGGGTAGGAGAACTGCATGCTTTTATGAAAATATGAACGAACCTAATGTTCTGGTGTTCGACTACATTCCTTGGATAGCAGAGTAAATTCACATGACACTAGTCGTTCGAGTTGTACAAGTACCTTATTCTAGCTGATCGAAGCGTTCATCGGTCGTTTGAACGACATCAACAGCAAAGTATCACTTGAAGGTCTAGACACCTATCTGGTCACTCTTCCAGCACTGAGCAAGTATGTTCACTCAGATCTTGAGCTCTTAAGGTCATCTGAAGCACTATCATTTGACTCGTGAGTAAGAAGAAAGAAAAAAACAGCGCTTGGTTTCGATTCGATAAAAAAAAAGCTGGACCGCAATGGTTTAAAAATTTAAAAAAGCCGCTAGTGGCTTTATACCAGAAGCACACTGCATTTTTATATCCCGTCAATTTGGAACACTATTTATAAGCAATATGAGAATCCAATACATTAAAGCCTTTGGAAAAGCTCGTAGTTGATGACTTGTGAGATTTATTTTCTCGGGTTCTCTCTGATTTGTAGGCTTTGATCGAATCCCATATAAAAACAAATTGAAGTCTCAGTTTCAAAGCTTCTTTTTTATACACTTGCACTTTAAGCGCTCTTTAACGCGTTTCTCACGAATTTCACGTGTAGAACTTAATGATGACCATCACCTCTGTTGGCGTATCCTGACGATTGAAACAAGACAACTGAGTTTGAATGGATGTGATCTTCAGGTTCTATTCGACCGAATCACATCTAAAAGCGGTTCTTAATCAGTTGGTGTTGGCGTTGATGTCCCACTTGTCGAGTAAAAGCGACGATCATCGAACCACAGCTCAGAAGTGCCTTATCGAGACCATTAAACGGATCGGTTAGAGTTTCTTTATCACATTTTCTTCCTTTTGTATTGCATTAGGTGAAAATATTTGCCATTATTACATCTATGCACATGGTGTTATTAGGCGATCAGGTCTTAACGTTGGCATGTATATTTTCACAAAGTACCGTTCTTACCTTTTCTCTGAAGCACGTGTATCGCAGTGATTAGAAGTGCACCTCTATGCACACTGTTTCGGTCCCGTTGGCTGGAACCCGCGCCCCTGTCCTCATCAATATTTCCATCCCTCCAGGGTCAGCAAATTGTTAACAAACTTTCTTGGGACGGTGACAGTACTTACATGCAGTACACTGGTGGGCCACTGTAAGTCAATGTTGAGGCTAGATGTGCACTCAGTCACCTCAACGACGATTGGTGAAGTCGAGTTTAGTGTATTATGCTACATTTTCACACAGATATTATCTTATATATGTGCATTATACTGCGCAGTATATTTATACTGTATGTATTCTACACACATTATTACAAGGCTTATCATATTATTACATATTAGGTCATTTTTGTTGCATTATAGTCGTACTTATTGTATCATATACTTACTTGGGTACCTGGATGGCCCGTCCTCAATGGTTGTGCGGGTCCCTGCACCATTTCCATTTTGTCGGAGTTTTGTTGGTCTAGCAACTATAATTCCCTAGAGTTTCGAGATCATCATAGGCAAGGTCTACCCTAAGTCGTCACCACCATAATCAGTCGCCATCCTTGTGGATCAGAAGGAGATTTGCCACTATGCGACTAGTACGATAGCAGGACAGTGGTGAATCCTGGTTTTGGTTTACTGTTAGCTGGGCTTCCTGATAGTAATGCCGGATTGTTTGTCTGCTTAGGAGACCTTGCTGGGAATATGAATCCCACCACTATACATCGTAGGCGGTAACCCGTTGGGAGGAGCATTGTGTCATATGTATGCTATATATTATTTTATGTTGTACACTTTGTTATTGTATTATTTCCTTGTTAAATTACTATTTTGTTATTATGCTTTTTCATCAGTCATATTTATATTTATTCTTATTCATATTTTTATTTATTTTTATTCTTGGATTGTTCTTTATTTTACTCCTCGCTTTTCTTGTGAAGCTAAGAACCACTTCCTGTTTAGAACGATTAAATATAACGTACTTTCTTAACCCTTTTATTTACTGCCTTTTTCTTCTTAGTGGCAGGGTATGTTACGAAATATAACTCGTATGAAATGCTGAGATATTTGCAAAACTCCGGACCACAGGTGTATGCAGTGGGGAACGAACACGCGCTGTTGTCCTTACCGGGGAGCAGCGCACTTCACCACTACACCATCTGGGTCCTGGATGGTCCCAGGTAAGGACAACAGCGCGTGTTCGTTCTCCGCTGCATACACCTGTGGTCCGGAGTTTTGCAAATATTTCAGCATTTCATAACGTACTTTTTCTAGCGTTCCCAGCGAGATTGCCTTCAACGCAAACACAACTTGAAAGGGTTAAGAAATATGAATTATTCTTCAGTTTCATCGATCCTGTCTTCTGTTCTGGAGATTTCCCACCGATTTGCTTAAACGGGAATGTTACGTCAGTACCACACCTGTGAAGAACGCACCTATTTCTTCTTTCCTTAATCTTTCCCAAATCAGTCCAGTGGTTCTCTTTCGCCGATGCTTGGCTAACTTCTACTGCAATATAAATAACTACGTTACTCCCATATTTCTTCTATCCACCATTATTATTTCAGATCCAGCCTGTCTTTCCTCAGCCATTGCAGCAGCAACACGTAAGGCGAACATCAAACAGAAGCCGTTCATGCTGGCCGTCTTTAATCGTAAGTTTGGATATGTCTCATAAGTTACTCTAGCTAAAAGTAGTTTTTAGTACTGTGGAAATCACGTTCTACAGACTTTTTTCTTTCTCAATCTAGTGCTGAACTGCGCTTCCATCTTATTTCTTCTCGCTTTTTTTTCATAGCCTCATTCTTTCCTTCTAATCCCCTCTTTTGCTTATCGTAGCGTCGTCTGCTTCCTTCACTTTTCTTCTTGCCTAGAAGATCTGATGTTTTCTTCTTTTTCCTTTTCCTTCCTTTTTCATAGCGAGGTTTTCCTTGCAACTATTGTTAAGTTTACTATGCACTTCTAAAAACAAGAACAGCCTTTTTTGGATTGGCTCTTATATGTGTTCTATTCAGGTTTGAACGCAAATTTGTATCCACTGAAACCGAAGCAGGTGGAGGTGATAGCACTGCCAATTTTGTGGGAGTGCTTGAGGGCGGGTGTAGCTGGAAGCGAAATGAGAAAGGCCGTCAGTGGATTCGCTAAAGGACTTGTGGAACTGGTGAACATCGAGTTTTCGTTATCTGTTTTAAGTATTTAGCGTTATAGTAAATGAAACACTAAGTGAACGTTTTATTTAAAATCTTTGTTTTATATTGAGAAATAGGAAGCGGATAGCGCAGTAGCAGGTGTGCTCGTTCACTGAGAGCCGCTGGTTTTCGAGTCCACTGTCCATCTCATCCATTCGTGCTTGGGAAGTTGACTGCTGGCTTGCCCAGGATCAAATGACTTCTTTCAATCTACAAAAAAGCAACGAAGCAACGAACTGCTTGTGACGAAGATCTGGGAGCTCCTTAAGTCATTCCTAGGATTCTAGGAAAAGTCTATAGTTGCGATTCCCTGAATTGGCTTTCTTGCAGTTGAGCGTAATGTGGAACACATTAGTTTGTTCTAAGTAGACCAAATTTTATGCGGCAAAATTAGTGCTAAACTAGGCTAGTTGTTTTTACCCGCATGAATTCGGTGTCGAAGATGAAAGAAAATAATCTCCAAAATTGCTTCTAATGGAGAACATGATGTTTAATACAGTTGTCACTAAATTGGTGCACACTGTTGCTCGTTATTCCAGATGGGCGAGAGAACAGTGCTAGAACATTCGTCGATGGAGGTCGATCCATCAAAACGAAGGCTACTCGAGTCTCTGATACAGTAGTTACACGATGTTATAAGACCGCCTCATTGTCACGGGTAGTGCGAAAATGAATAATCTACGAAAGTTACTAATTCTAAATGACGCACTAAATAGTAAAAAAAAGATCCTACTTTGTTTTGCTGTTGATACCTACCTATGTTATCTATTTCTTCACGAGTGCTGCTCCTTTTTTCTTGCCGATAAAGGAGAGGTTACCGATCATAGCGCTTTTCATGAAGAATTTTATGCGGAATGTAAGGCGGAGTCAGTCCATAGCTCCACATTTTGCTCACTAGCCATTTTAATTTGAGTTCTTATATTCTGTTAACTTCTCGGTCGTAAATAGAACTTGTTTTGCTATTCCCTAAATTCAAACTCTTGACGGGCTAACCAAATTTCTCGTTGACTTCCTACCGATGCATTTTCGAACGTCATATTGCAAATAATTATTTTATGTACAATAAATATAATCTATACTCGTATACTACGCAGTTTGATATTGGCATGATAGAAATGGATGAAGCCGGTCATTTCTCCAAGCGAACTTGCATGAAACCCGTACAACGCACCAACGGTGATGTACTCGAACACAGCGAATAACTCATAGCCTAAACAACAGTATTGCTTTCTAGAATAGAGATTTAAACTCTAACATGTTTTTTGACTATTATGAATTTAAGTTCTTGCATGTTCTTGACTGTAAAAAACATCAGAAAAGCTTCTTTTTACAGCGCAGAGTCGCACGCTAGTTGACGTGCATGAATTGCACAGACATCCACTCCATGTTAACCCTCCGTCACCGTTTGAAAATATTTCTTTGCTTGGATGCTTGAATCTTTGCTGGTAGGGTGTGCTTAGCACAACTCCCATTCGTTTCTTTCTAGCGTTAGCGTCGTCTTTGGTGGTGGTCTGCTTCGAGCAATGCTGACGTCCGTGAAGTCCATTCCGTAGCCTTAAAATCGCTTCCATCAGCGAGTGCATAGTTGTCGTCTACTCCGAACGCATCTGACCACAGATTGAGTGGTCGTCCCAGAAAAGGCCTGCAATATTTTTAAGACCGTTACAGTGCTCCTTTTTTCATCTGTCGCCTGTTCTTCTCATTACACGACGGGTCCATCTAAAATTAGTAGCTATCGATGTCCATTCTCCTGGATCCCGAAGACAGAATAGGCTTCGAAGATCAGTGCTGCACATTTTTCATGACGTGGTTGAAGTATAAGCCCGCCTTGCAGAGCGCTGTGAGGTCTATTAAATCGAAAAGGTTAGCACGGAGTTTTGAGCGCTTCAGTTGGTCGGTAGCGTCTTGAAAAGGCTCGAAGCCGCTCAGCTGCTTTCCTTCTGCTTAATTCTTCCTTCATGTTGTTCTCCATATTTACAGAACACACAAACGGGGTTCTATGTGTAAACAGAGACCTACTTTGTTCTCCCTCATACATGGATTCTCCATGAACGAGGTGCATTCATTTCGACACTGTCAAACGAGTTTGCGTAGTGATAAAGGTTGTAATAAGGGTCAGATATTACCACCGACAAATCTCTTTGACCCATAGTACGGTTGGATGTGGCCCATGCCGCTGAATCCCTGTCAGACACCTACTTGCCTTACTGGTTTTGCCTCATTCAACGTCTTCTATGTGCACAAAAAGATAATCTTTGTGAACAGCTTGTAGAGTACACTACAGTAAACAAGGATATTGGACGGTAGTTACAATCGGACACCTTTCTTGGGTAGGATGACTGTGCGCGAAGCCCTCCATTGGCTTGCGATTTCCTCTATCTGAAGGCAAGATTTCATGTGGGTTGCGAAAAGTAGACGTAATTTGCTGCCACCAGCTCGAAGGGAATCGGCGGTGATATTAGCAGTTCCTCGAGCTGTGGATTTCTTCACACGTCTTGTCGCGTCTCGAACTTCAGAGGATATTGGACAAGGATATCCCGGTCGGATTTTCTTCAATGAGGTCCAAAACGGTGGTTGTGGAATTTGAAGGATTGGTACAAAAGTTCTCTCCCAGTTATCAATTTCATATCAAGTTAAAATGTAGTGATCATTCCATCTTCGCTCACAGGACGTGTATTGGAATATTATAGTCGCAAAGATCCCGACGACAATTCTTCAGAGTGGATCGTTTTTGAACTACTTATAACAACTTTCTCTGCCTATACCGACATAAATGCTTTTGCAAAGATTTTCTACAGCTAATATTTATTAACAGGCGTCTTATTTGTGTCGCAGTTGGATCAAGCTTCAGCGTCCCGTCCTCATTGATTGTGCAGGCTTCAGGATAATTTCCATACCAAGACGGCGGTGATTCCTAGTATTGGTTTGTTCTCAGCTGGGCTTCTGGGTAGAAACATTGGATTTCTTTTCAGCATGAGAGGATCTGTCTTGGGATGACATCTCCGCTGTAGATCGTAGCCTTATATCCCAGAAACACCTTCTGGCCGCAATGAGGCGGTAAATTGTTGGGAGGTTCGTCTTAAAATTCTTTCAAAGCAGTGAGAATAACGAATTTAACAACATGTTGATGAACCTGACATTTTGATGATCGGTCATATTTTTCACAACTAGGACAATGAAGAACTGAGAATCGACTGATTTATAGACGCCGTGTTGATTTGACGTTGAAAGTCAATGCCATTTCAGCATATTATGAATCATACATGATTCAGATCGTCTACAATACGTGAAAAACGAGATTACTAGGGCGGTCACTAGTCCTCTCGCCATGAGGGAGAATTATATGTAAATACGAAGCATTCCTAAAAAATTTCTTGTGGTTTCATTTTGAGCTCCACAATTTTTTAAAGACGAGGCTGAAAACGCGAACATCGTTTGTAATTCTCACGGCCGACTTTCTGTTAACCTCGGTAGTGAGCATTTAATTCCCTATATTCTTTTTGAGCAGATACGAAGTGTTATTTTATTCTTTATTCACGAACAAACTGACGTTTCGGCGGATTTCGCCCTCCTCAGAGCATGAGAAGGTCAAGTGGACAACAATCTACCCAGCCAAACACTTCCATAACCAAACAGATAAAGTGCTAAACCAAAATTTCAGTTACATTTAACACAGACTAGCTTCTTCGCACACTCATGCTGAGGAAGGCGAAATCCGCCGAAACGTCAGCTTCTTCTTGAATAAAGAAAAAAACAACACCTCGTGTTTGCTTAAGAAGAACAAAGAGAACAGCTTGTAATTTTTATCTCTGTAGTTGCAGATTCGTAAGTGGTGACGAATTTACTGTAGATAGAAAAAGAAGAATTATATGAAATTTGAGCCCACCTCCAGTGACACAGTAGACGTTGTAGAGAATGAAAAAAAGGAAAGTCACTGGAACAGCGAATGTCATCACAGAAAAGAAGATCAACTGTAGTTTTATTGTTGTTCGTTCCTAAATTGACGAACTTGCATAGACCACAGCAAAAAATGAAAGTGAGTCTTCTACAGTTTTTCTTTTTGAAACTGCAAGGTTAAAGAATGGCTGAGAGATTTCTGGTAATCGAGTGAGATCTCTTCTCACTTGGATTCCTAAACTAATAAAAGTATGATAAGGATAAAGCCTTGGGTGCTGATCAATCTCTAAGTGGCATGCCATGCATTTGACTTCATCAAAAACTGGTTGCGTGCATGTTTAGCTTAGTGCTGCAATCCTGCCAGACAGTTTTGGTGAGGGATGGATAGCTTGATGGACCCAGAGTGCGAGATCGAACCAACGACCACCGCTGTATTTTAGGTATCTCTAACCGCGGCACTGTGCGCGCAGCAATTGGCTTATCATTATTCTTATCGCTATTGTTGTCTTACTGCTGCTACTATCACGTAGCCCACTTGGAATTAATTGCGGTGTATACGAAAAAAAAAAAACGAACCGACTCGGATTTCTTGTATGTCCATCTTGTTAGCAAATGAAGAGCACAGAAATAGAAATACGAAAAAGCGACAAATAAACTAAAGAACGCAACATGAGCACCTGAAAAGTAAAGTGTTTACCGGCAGCGAGCGTTTTCTTTCGACGCTCTCTCTCTCTCTCTCTCCAGGAATTTCTAGCTAAAGAAGGCTTGGATGGAGGAATAGGAGACTTTGCATTAGAAGTTGTCCCTGACCAATTAGAAATACTGTAGAAAGTGTATTCTGCGCTAACTAACTAACTAAGGTAATGGTAAGTTATGCAATGAACGAAGAATTTGCAAACGTTGTCAAATTTTTAGTAAACAATTTTGCTTACTCTAAAACATGATAGGTTATTAAAGGTGAGGTCTTTTTAATCCCAGAAAGGCTAGTCGTAATCTTTCCTGTGAAAATATAATTCGCTTCTTCTAATGAAGATCACATTTCAAGTCAGCAGTTGCACTACAGTATCTCTATAAAATTAAAAAAGGAAAAAGCTCTCGGCGTTGATCAACCACTGAGGGATGCACCGTGCATTCGACTTCATTAAGCATCGTTTGGAACTGATTGAATGCTTATCTGGTCTTTACAGTGACTCAACTACAGCCGCAGCTTAACTTGGTTCTATGCCTATTTGGGCGCCCCAGATCAATCCTGCTGACGGGTGATTGCTGTGGCAAAGATCGAGTACAAGAAAGTCCTTAGCAAATCACAGTGGTGTTTTTTGTTTAATTTTGAACCATTTTGTACCCATGGATCAAATACACTAATTAATAATACCGATACCGTACTCTTGCATTCTGAATCTCATTGGACTGAGTAGCGCACTTCACCAGCACACCATCCGGGTCATGGTGGTGTGGTGGTGAAGTGGGCTACTCCCCGGTAAGGACAATAGTGAGCGTTCGTTCTCCACCGCATACACCGGCGGTCAGATGTTTTGCAAATATCTCAGCATTATATACGAGTTATACTATCAACATACTTCCATTTTCTCTCTCTCCAGTAACAGAAAGGAGGCTAAGGAGTAGCACTTCACTTCCGCCGCAAAATATCAGCAACTGTCTGGTGACGGTGAAGATCCGCGTCGACGTATTCACGACAGAAAACCGTAACCCTTAAAAAAGCAGAACGAATTAATGAAATCTCGAAAGTAATCCTTTTGACATCGGACAAGCACAACCCTGTTTTTTTTTTAGAGAAATGTGGCAGAAATTTTCAACGAACCTCACAAATCTCCTAGTTCTTCGGGATTTCGACAGTAAATCGATAAAAATCTTGTTTTCTTCAATATCTCATTTTACTGGGAGTCAACTATCTCAGAAGGAAATAGGCATAACAAAGCTTCCGAAGTTTTACAGTATCTAAGCATTCCTGCTCTTTTATACGTAAAAAACTGGTTTAGAAAAGAAATTAAACGTAGATTGAAATTAGAAGCCCAGTTGGCAAAATCTGGGTAGATTGACGAGTTCATGACAATCACACCTCTTTTCTGTGTTCATTAGTTATTTCTTTTTTCCGTCAATTTTTGTTTACTGCCTACTATTTTTTTAATGGCAGAGTACTGCGTGAAATATAACCACAATGATGCTGAGATATTTGCAGAACTCTGGACCGCAGGTATCTGCGGTAGGGATCAAACACGCTATTACCCTTTCTGGGAGCTAACCTGTTCACCGCCACACTAGGCAAGTCCTTCGCTTCGCCGTTCTCTCAGCCGTGTTATTAACCTATAGCTTCGCAAATATCTCAGCATCATTGTGGCTATATTTCATTTTTGTTCCATTTTTAATAGTCCAATGAGATTCAGAATGCAAGAGTACGGTATCGGTATTATTAATTAGTGTATTTGATCCATGGGTACAAAATGGTTCAAAATTAAACAAAAAACACCACTGTGATTTGCTAAGGACTTTCTTGTACGATTCGAGTTGTTCTATTTTATTCTCTGGATCCACTTTTTGCTTCCCTTGCTTTTTCGCTGAAATTCATTCATCATTTCACATTTGAATCACATTTGCTTGGAGAGATAGGATAGAGAAAGTAGATGCCAAGCTCGATATCAAGAATTTTTTTAATTACCGGTTTGATCCCACTTCAAGCACAACGAGTCTCTTACCTCTCCGGAGTCGGAAAACCCACACCGGACCTCTCTGGGAAAAGTTCACCTTTGCAATATAAATGAGAATGCTTCAGCCCGGCTATTCCGAAGCTCAATGAACAACCGACTAGACCAGCATTCAAGGACATTCATGATGAAAGAAAAATCTTGAAGCAACATCCGAATCCACACGTAAAAAGTTGAACCACCTTCGTGGAAAATGGATGCGAGGAAACGTATCGAATGCGAGAAGTGCTGGCACCGCATGGTGGATATGGAAGATGGATCGTGTGAAAAAAAATAATTCATTGAAAATGATTAGTTTTGTCAGGCAGTAAACAGTACACTAAAACGATTCTGCTTTAAGATTGAAAGAATTCATAAATTTCCAGCATTAATAAGACACTTTCGATTAACCTATTTACTTTGAAGTTGTCGCGTGTGGGTGCAGTGGTTTGAGGCGCCACTGCGACACACACGTGAAATCGATCCCAGCTGCCACGGCTCGCCAAGCCTTCCATCTCCTTGGTGTCGGCAAATTGGTGCCAGACTTGTCTGGGTGGATAGCAGCACTGGCTCGATATATTAGTAGGCCGCCGCGGGTCATTGTGAAGGCCAGATATGCATTCAATCACCTCCAACGATACTTAATAAAGTCGAGTGCATGGTGCATTCCTCAGGGATTGATCAACGCAGAGAGATTTATCCTTTATCCTTTTACTTTGAAGTTGTCAAGGTTTATCAACTAAAACCACTGACCGCTCCGGTAATGTCTCTTGATAGATGCAAGTATAAGAAAAAGCGAGAAAAACATGTGTGAAAGTATTAAAAAACGATATGAGGAAGTAGATCTTCTTCTGGACAAATCGATGTCGCATATCATTCGGTTTTCATCATTCTTTTCATTTGATACTTTTCCTCTCATCCATCATCCATTAAGATTTTCGGATTTGCGTATGGGTTTCGGTTCCTTCCTTTGGATTTTTGATCCTCTTTACGAATACTGTGCTGGCTGAGAGGACTTCTTCTGAAATTTTAAGATAGCTATGCTCTGGCTCTCCTAGATCTTCATCACGGTAGTCGCTGTGTTTATAGGATCAGGTGGAGCTTCCCAGACAAATCTGATATCAATTTCCTAACTAAGAAAGATGGAAGACTTGGTGAATAGGGGTGGTGAACCAAAGTCTTCCTTGTACTCAACGGCATCGCATCTACTTTGCTACCCATGTAACCCATATATATGCTATAATATAAAAATTATTCTATTTATTTCACATGCTCATCTAAGCGTTAGTAGAATAAATTGTCTTCAAACGTGAGTGCTTTGAAATCAATAAGCAGAACGAGGACGCTTTGGCTAAGGGTCACCGAATTGCATAAATCTCTGCCTTGCCGATTGATTGCCAACCTTCGCATGTCGTTACTGTAGTTCTTAAAATGAATGGTCCAATTAAAAATCATAAATAATAAAAAGAGCAAAGCTCTCAGGGTTGATCAATCCCTGAGAGATGCGTTATTTATTCGACTTCATGAAGCATCATTAGAGGTGATTGAATGCATATCTGACCTATACAGTGACTCGCAGTGGTCTAACGATGTCTCGAGCCAGTGTTACTATCCTCCCAGACAAGTCTGGTACCAATTTGTCGATCCGGGAGGGATGGAGGGCTTGGTGAGCCTGGGGTGCGGGGATCGATCCCATATGTATTGCAGGGTGCCTCTTACCAATGCGGCACACGTGTTCCTATTGAAAATCGTAGAATTTGAAAACATTTGTACGTTATCGTTAAAAATAACGGTTTCTCATGTTCGATTCTCAAAGGTAGAAGAGAAGAAATTGAGAAAAGATCAGGGGCTTCAAGATAACTTCAGAAATAAATGTGAACAGCTTTACATGAGATAAAGAGGTTTTATACAGGATTTACTTCCGAATTTCTATTGCCTTTCACATTCTATGACATATAACTCTAGTGAGAAAGCGAGAAACTGTGTATAGTATCAATCCTTTGTAAAGCAAAATTTTTCAAGATTATTTTGTTGTTTAATAGATTTTTAGGTGCACAGATAGACAATGGGTTAACAACTTACAGTGTTGAAACAGTATGATTAGCCTTAATGGAACTGAGTACAAAATAAGCAGCTGAAAAATAGTCCGTTCCAGTGGCATATTTATTACCCGTGAGATTGACGGTAGATGAACCACCTGCAAGAGGAGTGCCGAACGTGAGCGCAAATGGAGAAGTGAAAAGTCAGACTCACACCACAACTCCATCTATAGGTGTAGAAATCGTTTGCATGACTAGCGGAACCGAGCAGAAACGAAAGCGCAAGGGCAGCGACTGGACACACCATGCATTGAATAAATATCGATCGAATGGAAAACGTGAAGAGCAACCTCGGACCACGACACCTTCGAAACTGAACCGAGCTCATGATGACTGCAATGGTAAGGTAGAGTGTTTCCTTATGATAACCTCATAACATCAGATACGAAGAAAACTAAGAACAAATAATATAAAAAAGTAGCACGAGCAGATTTATTTCGGCAACGATCCTTGTTATAACCGGCGAAGAATAAATGAGCCATATTTCTCTACTTCATATGTTCTCACATTTTTTACGGATCTCTCTGAGCTTTCTCGTCTCGTTCCCGCCATCCACACAAGATTTCGTTTAGCGTGTGGCTTCAACTGCAACACAAGATCTTTTCCTTCTCCATAAATTTCTTTAAATGTCGGTCGATTTCCTTGTCCCTGAAACTCTCGGGCAATTCTAGCAGGAAGTTGCGAGGTGTTCGGCGTTCATACAGGTAGTCGTTCGCCTTTTGTGTGGGTGGGAAAGAGCTATTCACAGGCAGGTTCTATACCAGCTTGCTGACCTCTGAGCACCTGAGTGAGCTTAGTGAGGATTCGAACTTACGACTACGTTGCCATGCATGACACTCAAGCCAGTGCTTTATTGGCGCTCATGTCACCCACTCTGATTTTATTAGAACTTGTTAAGCCATAAGTGGATTACCAGGTGCAAAAAAAATACGATATGTAATTTGATTTATATAGAATTCCTGTTAAGGATAAATGGTCATGTTGCAAGGATTTTGGGTAATCGTTAAAAAAGCATATTGATAGAATTTGCTACGTTTCATCCATTTTTGGCATAATAACGCCAAAACAGACAATTTTTCGACGAAGCAATGATTTAAAGATTCATGGATTTGCACAGAGTCAGAGAAAATTGGGTTACGGATGACAGATTGAACAGATCCGAAGACAAACGGCTGTAAAATATAACATTAACACCACTGGAGTAAGAGTTCTCTCACGCGAAATCTGACTGAAGAGCACAGCTAGAGCTTAGAATAAACAATTGATCAAAGGGAATGACAGAGAGCAAGGGATAGAGCATTCGGTCATGAGTAATATATTACGGACGTTCCTTACATTCGACTCTATTCGCATCGCCGAGGTGAATGGATGCGTATTTGACCTGCACAATGAAGGACTTATCCACGCATACCGACGTATCGACTCGCAACTCGCAGCTTTTCTATCCTCCAAGGTAGGCGCGGTACCAATTTGCCGACCGCAAGAAAGATTTTTGAGACAGTTTGGTTGACCCAGGACGCGAGATCGAACTAACAAGTGTGTATAGAAGACGACCTCTAAACACCGTGCTACATTTAACATTTTGAAAAATTAGCAGTGTTTTTTCAATTAGATCCTGCAATTTTCATTTAGATGAAAACGAAATTCTAACGAAATTCCGTTCCAGTGGTAGCGTTATTGCGCAAGCAACTAGATGTGACACGTATATGTTCGACCTTCACCTCTTACGTCTTGTTGACTGCTGTCCGATATGAATTAGCGCCGATAAAGTCTCCAAACGTTTTCGTACGATGCCTGAGTTGCTTAATGGGTTCCGCTGTTCAGTGGACATGAAGACCGTTAAATTTTTTAGGACAAACTATTATCAGCGGATAGTCTTATCAGCAACAACAACTCCTGTAAAAAAGGACACTGCCGGGTGCGCTTGGATCATTCGTGAGGTGTTCACTTAAGACGATCCCGCCTCGGTACGACAAAGAAGAAACAACATCGTGATCACGAACAACTGTGGACCACCGACGCGGATCATCGTCATCGGCTCTGATGAAGACGAAGACGTCGAAACCTTAGCCGAAATAGATCTGTATATCAACATCGTGTAAGCTCAACAACACTAAATATATGTTAAATTTTTTGTTAAAATGTCTAAAGTTTCCACAAAGAAGATTTGCTTGCGGAACAGGATCACATTCTAGTTCTGTTGTAGACGAAGACGTCAGAGATTGCTGAAATGCTATGAATGCTCCAACTCATTATAGGAAAGCTCATTTGCGGAAAAGTGACTTTAATCGTATTAGCACGAGCTATATCTATCTGCTTGGATGCTGAAACTACCAAGCTTCAAAACTTCGACAAAACCCATTTTAGTTTTGAACCTACTGGTGACCCTCAAGATTAAAATTCTTTTCAAGAGACCCTCCAGGCTTTTCTTCCCTGGTGTCTCCTCTTTTAAAAAAATTTTCAATCAGCTCGTTTTAACTCATATTTACTGCCTATTCTTTCCCTTTTGTGACATGGTACTATGTGTAATATCCATCATATTGTATTGAGCAAAATTATACTTCACACCGTACTCTGCTGAGAAAAAAGAAAAGACAGCAAACAAAATTTAGAATATTCCAATTTTCGGCCCAGCTTTACCTTAACTGGGTTCAATGCCAATTTGTGCCCCCTAAATCACTTTTTTTTGATAAGTGATTACTGACAATACCGATGGAGTAGAAACATGGTTGAGATGAAGGAAAAGTTAGATCCTGTGATTGGTGTGGTGGATAGCATGTGAACCCTCGGAAAGCGCAATCACGAGTTGGAAGCCATACTGAGGTTCCGAGTTTTGCTCATATCTCAGCACCCGTCTAGTAGTTTCCAATGGATGCACAATGAGTAAGAGAAAATTCAAGACTAGTTAAAAGAAGCAAAGCATGTTGTTGGAAAGAAATGAATTTAGGAGAAAAATATGCGTAGTAGCCGAAACACTTCCGATCTAAAAATCGGATTGTTACCAGCGTCGGTGACGAATCGTTTGCAACGAATAGCAAATGCATTGAAGGAGCTTTTGCAAAAAATGAACGAATTGCCGATTTCGCAAAAGAAAAATGGATCATAAAAAATCGTATCAACGAAGAACGACTAACTGCCGAGACGGAATGCTCGAATTGCAACACAAGACGGCACGACAAGGTCATCTGGAGAACCTGTCGTAATGGAGAAGCCGTAGACACAACAAGTGCCATTCGTAATGATGAATCGAACTATATAGACGCCATTTGCTGCTTGCCTGATTGAAGCTAAACCATTGTTGGTTAATAAGCATTGAATGTTTTTATGTTCTATGTGAAATGCAAATGTTCAACTGTTAAGTAGAGCTCCCTAAAGTGTTTCATTCGCCGACGCGACGAGGTTATCTCAGTGTAAATCGCCAAGACATGCTATAACCAGGCATCATCTTTAGATATTAGTTTGAGAAATCGTGTTATTACCAGTTATAATAACAGTGATGTCAGTAGATATAATGGAACATGGCAAAATTGTTTTCATTTTTCTGTTCTACACGACCCGTCTTTCACATTCACTGCGTAGATTTCACCATTCCTTGTAATGGGCTCGGTTCCTCGAATTCTCCATCCACAAAAGTCCTCGAAATTCTTTCATGTCGTGGTTTGGCAGGTGCTTGAGGATTTTCTTTTCGTTATAAATGTTGCTGAATGCTGGTCGAGTCGATTCTCCCTGAAGCTCTGAGATAACCGGGTTAGGGCGTTCCACTTTAATTGCACAGGGTGAAAGTTTCCTAGATAAGTCAGTCCGCTATCAGTTTCCCGATCCCAGAGGAATGAGAGCTCTGGTGGGCGCTAGGCGGGATCAAGCCAGCACGGTACTCGCGATGAACAACGCCACTACCACTACGCTACTCGTTTCATGCCCAATTTATAAATCAAAAACCCGAAAAAACCAAGAGGGAAGCATGCACTTCCAGCTTATCGCAAAAAGGACTATTAAAGTACAAGTTTCAAGACTCAAGCACATTGCGTTATCGCTTCTGTGTAAAAAGGGCTCGTTTCTGGCTCAATATGGTGGGGGTTTTGTGTTCTGCACCAACGACTTCGAGTTAAATTACCTATTTAGATAATTCGGTGCTTAGAAGTCTCGCCTTCATACCTCGTGCGGATCGCAACATGCCTTTCATTTTTCCGCTTATACTGCAACTGGTTGGGATTCATAGAACTAGTCAGATTCGAGGGTTCAACATCAAATTAAGGTCTTCTCTTATTCCGATACAATGAATGGCAGCCGACTTCACGCCCGGTAATTGTCGAGTTTCTGTAAATTACAAGAAGGCTTACTGTTGGGCATCTATGTGGCAAAACAGACTACAAGTAACTCGACGAAAACTACTCTAAGTGCTTTAGCTATGTAATAGTCTTGTAGTAGGTATGGGTAGTACAGTGGTGGTTACACCTTTCATGACGGGCATAACAGCTGTTCAATACCACATCGAGCTTAATGGACCTACCGTTCCCTGGTGTTCATGATATGGTACCGGATTTGCCCCGGACCTAGATTTGGGAACGCACTAGCACGGCTAACTCAAGGCTCCAGAGAGAATTGACCCGAACAGCACTCGAGGGTGTTCATAGCAAAGAAGAAATTCTTTAAGAGGCAGACGAACCTACTTGCAAAAGTTCAGAGGCGTAGATGTTGGATTCGAGGAAGCGACTTGAAAGCATTAGGCGAAAGATAAGAGATTTTTCACTCGCATATACAACATAAGGCAAAAGATGTTCAAGAAGAGGAAAAATCTGTTTTTGGACTTTCATTGTAAACAACGAACTCGAACTGCAAGAACCGCATGGGATAAATAATTACAACGTTCCTGAATGCAAAAAAATTTAGGTAGCTCATATAAGAGGTTACCCTCTCAACAGCTTACCATCTCATTGTGGATGGGAGGTGTTTCTGGCTGTCGGACTGCAATGTGCAGCGAGGGGATTCATTTCCTGGCAGGGTCTCCCAGACTAAGAAGGAGTCCGGCGTTGCCATCAGGAAGCCTGGTTAAGGGTAAACCAATACCAGGATCCACCACCGCTCTGATATCAAAGTCGCATGGTGGCAAACCTCTCTGTTCCACAAAGGCTGCGATTGCCTTCAGTTGTGGTGACATGGGGCAGACTTTGGTTAGGCTGAACTCGGGATTCCAAGAAACCACAATGGCTTAACCAGCAAATCTCCGTAAAATGGAGGTCTATGCTG